AGCGTCATCAGCATATAGCGAGCAATGACTACGCACACATTCCGGTAGATCATTTATATACAATAGGAAAAGTATCGACCCTAACACTGAGACTTGAGGAACACCAGATGTCACTGCTGATTCTCTGGACAGACAGTTTTCGACATCAACACATTGGGTACGGCCTCTGAGAAAATTTGTAATCCATTTCAGCAGATTTCCACCGATATTATACTGTGATAATTTCTGAATAAGTTTTGCATAGTTCTGCAGGAATAATAAATTCATTATTCATTATGCAACCTCGTTTACATTATTACTGTTTGTTACTCCATTCAGATGATGAAAGGCTATAAAAGCGGTAACCTTAACAGTTTTATATTAGTATCATTACACAAGTTCCATAATAAGGCATAGCTATGTCCTTATGAAATCTGGATCATCCAACGACTCCTTGTGCTTGCGTTTCATTGTAAAATTGCAATCGCTTTTCATTTGAAAAGTGAACGCCAAATCGTCTGAAAAGCATCAGTTAACTTGCAGTCATCTGCTGGTAGCAACAGATAACGTGTTTTCTTAAAATTGCTCTCAAGTGATCATTGCAATGATTTGTTAACCATTTGGTGCTCTATGTTGATCAAACTATGCATTATTATCAAAACAGTTATTTTAACATGATAGTAGTCTGAGTCAAATGCTCCTAAAATATCGTTACATTCACTGCGTATTTAGTGGAGCTTAAATCACTCTCTTTCTTCAGCGTGTTCCAATTGGTACATTCAGATAAACGCGTTCAGGACTGTCGTCAATGATCAAAAATTATCCAGATTCGCACTGCCATGCCTTCGACATATTGAGTCTCTTGAAAAATGCAAAACGAAATGTAGTTCCAAACCACCGCGAGAATAAGATATTTTCATAAGCATGGCAAATCCTTAAAGTGAAACGCTAAGATTTTGTTGATTGAGACGCAAAATGAATGAATTCGCTAATGATCACAACTGCAATCCCGTTGCATCATGATCGAAATAAGTGCTCAACAAGAACTCGAAATTAATGAAATTTCCACGATCAAACCATGCGACTGATCATAAACGATAACATATTCATCAAGTTACCTAAATGATGATCCCGGAATGTGGACAGAGAAAAGTTCTGAAGAATACGATCAGAACCAAGGCAAATTTGGTTGCGAGTGCAATCGTTCGTCGTCACATTGGTGAATAATTTATTGACGTGCCGTTTACAGCCAGTTACAAGCACTTGCATACATCAATCTTCCTTGCATGAATTCATTTCACTCATTTCGACTGTCAATGTGGAAGACCATCACAACCGAAACGTTCACACAACTTCACTTTCATCAAGGTCACAGACGATTTCTGTTGATGATTTCTTGCTGATGATCCAAGAATTCAGCAATCAACTTTCAGTCTTCAGATGACAAATTAAAACAGTGTCAAACGATCGACTGTGCGAATTAAGGTTTGCATTCAAAAAATTGCAAGTTGCTCGAGTGCACAGCCAAACAAGATCAGGTTCCATTAGCATTATAAAGCAGCATAAGGAAGAGAACTGAAATTTTCCATAAATTAGTTCTTGCCTTAATAACAAGCCGGTAAGCTGAAATGCTGACATGCTAGTGGATTTATAGATGTAGAAGTTCAAAGCAAAAATGCTTTGACTGAATGCTCAAGAACTGGTAGACAAGGGCCGAATGATGGTCAACAAATTCATTGCGAGGTGAGGAAATATAGCGACTGCATCAGTGACGTAAACAGATCGCCGATTGCATCAAATTTCACGACGAGACGTCAACGAAATGGCCTATTTTTCACATTCAATAAATTAAAATGGACAATTCTTATTACGCGAGAAAGAAATTACAGAGCGTCTGGTTACAGAAATTATTTCGAAAGAAATTACAGAGAAAGAAAAATTATTTCAGGAAATACGACAGTATGCAGCTTAGTTGTGACTCTTCCTCTTGCAATTGCAATCTTCATGTGTTATGGACGTGTATCGTTGAATTACCAATGAAATGTTCTGTTCCACACTTCGACCTCATTTGTAAAATGAATGCAAGATAGGTGACCGTCAGTGAGAGTGTCTGCAACCTTACAACGGTTAAAATTAAATCACTTCCAATAACGAAGCATACTTTTATACATTGTATGAAACGTTTAAAGCAGTGGTTCTCACGTTCGGGTGCTTCATTACCCCTTTTGATGATCGGGCAGGGGGCCGTTACCCCTTTCCTTCACNCCCCCCACGTTATTGAATATGGAAATCGCATATGTTTTGTTCAGATGACCGTTACGTCCAATCTTATTAGCACGTTCATGATGGGCCTTCTCTTACGTTAGCACTTTGTGTTCCTCACGTCAGTATTGCAATCCATTATGACTGCATGAAAGACTGTTGTCTATGACACGCTCACTTCAAACTGATTCAGATGGATTCTCATTCTTTTCAGACGTGTTGTATTCACTCTCATAGCTATCACATGCGCATACCGTTATCTTCATGACTTTTTCTCATTCACTTCGTCTCATTTCACTTCACATTTTGAATCGATTTCTCATTCAGTAGCATATACTATTTACTGAATACGTTGACGAGTGTTGACAGCCAAAATCAACAATACAGCAATTGTTCGACAATCTGATAATCAATTAGAGAGTGTATTTGATAGAATGAGAATTTGGCTTTGACTGTTGAGTGAAATGAATGAGAAATTAGCACAAGAGAATACTTTTGGTGATAAAAGCTATGAGAGTGATTATAGCAGCAAGAAAAAGAATGAAAATCCGGTTGAAACGAATGAAAACCCTGTCAGACGAGTTAAAAAACATCATCACAATGGCGTTCTATCACAACACAACAACTCCACGAAATACAAATCTCTCGACCCCCTCCATTACCTCTTGGCACCACCGAAAACGGGTAATTTTACCGATGGTCCAAAGGAGGCCAGTTAATTATGACCCTGTGACATGGTACGTTTGTCGGAGTAATTTGAGTGATTCAGTAGTGACAGAACGCACTCTGAGGGAATGTTCCAAATAATTCTTTGAAACGCAGCTCAAAGCAGTTGCAAAAAATTTCACTTACGGTCAGTATTAAAGGCTTCGTTACTACGGCAAATCCCCACAATGAAACGCCTAAGTTTTCTTGACGAATGTGCGACAGAAACGAGTGAGCCAATGTGTGTAGCTGAAATGAGACATTTTCAAGAACATTAGTGATAAGTCGATTTCATGTTCGGTTCGAATAAAGTATCGAAGTGGTAATCCGTTTCTGTACAACGCCGAATCACTGTTTCTCCGAAAATCCCCACCAATGTCATCTGAAACATGCTTGAAACCACATGAATGATTTGCATTTCAAATTTTTTTCCATCCACTTCACCGGAACGTAAAAATGAAATAAAGTTATTACATCATTAGGACTGAACGGAAATAGACGAGAAAACATTGAGATGAAACTGCATTTAAAGTATTCATAAATGGTCACCTTCTGATCGTATGGGCACCAGATACGATCACAATTGTAAACGATTTGTTCAGAGCGCATAATCTGAAAAAAATTCTATCGAGGTGATCATTTCACAAATTTTCAATCATCCATAGATTTTGGCAAAATTGACTCGGAATTCCGATAGCTAAACCGGAGGCAGACTGCTTATGACTCATGAGTGCATTCCATTAGTCCCGCTAAACGCATCCACTATTGAGAGGAACATTCTGTCTTCTTGTTGCAGAAATGAGCATCACTTATGGAGCAGCTCGTCTCAGTATCAGCACATGAATGAATAGCCAAAGGCAGCCAGTAGATGAACGGGAGAGTTGATAAAGCTGTGAGCAAAAGAATTCGATCTGCACAGAACGTTGACCTTTGCATGCATCATAGCCGGTACAACAGTTAAACTGGTAAGTTGAATAACGTAGAATCCAGTCACAGCTATTACTCTGATCGAATACATCAGTGAATGCTGAGACAAGCTTGCCAGCGAAAGTAGTGAAAATGCCATTCCGGGTATATTCGTTCCAATCATTAAGAAAGCGTAAACCTGAAATTTTTGACCATATCATCTAAAATGGATCTACTTATGTTGTCAGATTGCAAACAAGAGACATTCATGAAGATTCCGTAGAATTCTAAAATTGTCCTCAACCTCACAATTGTTCCAATTATAATATCATTCTATTAACTGTAAAATCCCTTCCGGACACCAGTATCATCAGAATAACCATCGCAATCAGAATCATCAGGAACATAAACAAAGGATTACAAGACATCCGATCTAAAATGTCTCCACCTGAAACATCTGATTCATCACTCGTACCGCATTCGCTAATCGTCTATGTGTTTTGAACATTTCCATGAACGTCTCGAATAACTTTTCATGATCCACTTCGTTCAACTGAAGATAGATTATCACAATTCTAAATGCAGCTTACCATTCATCTTGACATTCACCAAGATCACCATATTATTATCAACGGGAAAAATGCATGCAAACACCATTATCGCACTTCAATTTTTGATACTGCCAAACTGCAGTCATTAACACGCACACCTAATCAAGTGGATGCTACTCAACATGGAGAATTCGAAAGAATTTATTCCCTCTTCATTCAAAGTGACAGCATAAGTTGATAATTACTCCCTCATNACCTTCTCAAGCTGTCGATTGAAGTAATCGAATTCACTTTCCAAACAAATTGTTACGTTTACGTACAACATCAGATTCAGTATCCAAAATAGCCACGTATAAAGTCCCACGAATACACTGATGACGCGTAGCCAACCTTCTTTACCCTCAAATCGATATGAAATTTTAAGCATTCAAGCTGAATTTTTGTATCTGCTTTTCGCCTATAGTTAACCGCTGTGGCTGACTGAATGCCATTGAATGCAGGTGATATTCTGGTGAAAATGGAGTTTATGTGCATCAAAAATTCATGTTCTGCAATTCACAAGACCAAATTCGCAATGTTGGCATCACACTTCGTGCCACCCAAACAACGTCGAAAAATATTTCATTCCTTGAATATTCGCACATTAAAAATATATCCAAAATGAATGAGCACGTAAGAGCCTACCCAAAACGCCAACATTATCATTTTATATGGAATACAGTTCACGCGAAGAGTAAACGAAACAATGGAAATCGTCGTGAATGCTAGGAAATACGATGCGCCTAAAAGGATAACGATACGAATCGAACGAGTGGCACGTGCCCTTCCAGCACAGTGTTGAGCATCATAATAAGCTTGGATCAGTCTGTCGAGAGGTTTCGAATGTTGCCAGTACGGCACAAACAACTGGAATGATAGTAATAGTTGATATTAATGATAATAATGAAGAGTGTCGCAGGAAATTCGTAAACCATACGTTTATTTCAGTGGCCATCGACAAAGCATGTTTTGAATTGCAATCGACTTCGGTCGCTTGCAAACGAAATCAAGTGTTCCAAGGCCACTGGTCCAGCTTCACTGTCACGTGACAAGTGGAAAGCTGAGTTCAACAGGAGATGAATTTGTCTGGCTCATTCCGGCTGAAGCTGATATAGGCTACCCGATTTGATTTCACGTAGGTCATGGGAGATGGATTAGTTAAATCAAGCACAACTGATATGCCTTCAGTTGCCTTTCTCGACACTCTCTTTCTCATGATTTTTCTCATTAGGACTATCAAAATTGTTAACGAAAACAAAATGAATGAGACTAACAAATGATGATAGCGATTGAATGGCAGATGTGAACGCAACCAATATCAACGACAAATATTGATGGGATTCTCGTGTTGTTAAAAGGAAATATCCCACATGCATCACGCCATATCCACCTGTAAAATCGGAATGTCATCGTTGTCAGTTCTGAAAATCCCGAGGTAATAAGAACCCTTTTTGAGTTTCGCGAAAAGTTTCCCTATCAACTGGTAGCGCACATGATTGTCCTATGAATCGCTTTATATACTGCTATAAGAAGTCAACGTGCAAGGGGAGTCAACGCCCCGGTGATGATCAAACCTCAAATTGCTCGGTGTATTGATGCAAACGATTCACGGCTATAACAGCATTTCAAAGCGATCAACGAACGCTGCACTATGATGTTTCAGGATCTCCAAAGAGATGTGAAAGAAACAATCAAAACAGCACCAACCTAATCCAACAACTGTCATCACGAATAAGAGTTGAATCCAGCAAAGTGGTTTCATGAGAACACCTCGTAATGGTGTTGTAAAATGGCAACCAGTATAATGATAAGCGAGTAGAATGGGTATGAAGTGTCTCCGAATGAACGCCAACTGATCTTTATCCAATTTTGTGGTGATTTTTTGCAGAAGCTTATCGTCGTTCAACGATGTTCGCTTGAAGAAGACCATATCCACAGATGATCAGATCACACGGTTGAACTAAGCCAACAAAGGGGTTATTACATGAAATTACAGCACTTGAAGCTTGAATATGGAAGAGCGATATTATACTCAAACAAAAGTGAGAAAATAGCTAAGTTCCAGCGCATGTTCAGATTTTAGAGCGTATCTCTTTTGCGTTTGCCGTAAATGAATAATTTAAACGTCTTAGTGTATGAACTACGTGTATATTCGTTTTCGGTTCATCCATAGAGCATTTCAAAATTAGTCTAGATTGGAGTTACATCGCGCTATAGCATATTCATTTGCAGTGTAGTAGAATATCATGCAAAAATTGGCCAGGCTAAAGTGCAGAGGACCGCTCAGAACAATGTGACTGCATATTATGACCTGATGAATGAATCTTTGAATTGTTTTATATATTGGATGAAGATGCACTCTAGATAACTGAGTTAGTCGCATTGGTTATTTAATATGAATTTGAGCTAAGAAAAAACTTGTCAATATCCATCCACAATGGATGAATGAAACATTATCCACATCACCGCAAATGGAATTGGTCGCGTTTCATTGGAACCGGATGGCAAATCGAACACCAGTGCCTTTAGAAAGATGCAAAATTTTGAAAACCCTCAACTTTATTTCCTAATAGGAAATATGCCATTAAGGAAAGAAGTGTATGGAGAACGCTCAGGAAATTGTGTTCAGAGGATCCATCTTCCGAAGCTAATGCATCCGAATATTTGCTGCCGATTCGGGATAGCATTCATTTGAGTACATCGTGAATGTACTAGAATTGTTTCAAGTATTGTATGGTGTGCGATTATCATTAAAGAATAACCAAAAAAATAGATGCGGTAGAGACATTTCACCGATAGTTATTCTCCGGCTGCAAATAAACACTTTTCAGATAGTCATATCAACGGGACAGTAATGATTAGCGAAGAGGAGGAATCTCGTGGTACTCTGCGTAACGAATATCTGATGAATAGATGATAAGGTGAATGAATAAATTTTTGAGTTTATAAGTACAAAATAAATTGAAATTATTGCAAGATCACGTTCAGTAATTTTGCAGTGATTTCAATTACTGGAGGGAATTTGGGAACAAAATATCATCAATGAGTTGCTCTACATCAATTTAATATTCAAATGTCCTCAGAGAAATCCGTGATGAATGTGGTATTGGAATGAACTGTTTATAAACGGCTCACATGAACGTTGAGATGAGAAGTGGGGGAATCTGCTCGTAAAGTGTGACAAATGCCTCGCATGTAGGGTTATTACGCGATATTCTGTCCATCCAAATCGCTCGACGAATCTGCGTGGCATTTTCGTGGAGCGATGTTTACGTTTCTTCGAGCGTCGAAGGAATCCCAAAACGGCCATTGCATGAAAAATTGATTTTAATGGAGACCGATGCTGAATGAGGCTTATCACTTGGATGGACAGTAATAAATAACGAGCGATTTGAAAATAGATTATTGGTAGAATTTAAACTGTTTGAGAACAAAGAAGACTAAATAATTGAATGAATGAACAGACTTGTGAAGGGGAACAACCTGTCAAACTGGTTTGATGATCAGTTGCAAGTTCCTCAAATTTCATGTAACTTGTCGTGAATCCAAAACACAACTGTTCCTTTGCGTTGACCCACCGTCCCCGATCCGCGCGATCTGAAATCAAAGAGATTAGATCTTGAAATGAGAAATCTGATTTAATGGGACAGTATCGTGCAGGTCCACGACGATTACTCGTGGACGCA